TCACCCCCGCACTCGGACTGCCATCGGTACCACTCACAACCGACATCACGACCAGCCGGTCCCACATACAGGATAAGCGCCCTTTTGCTGCCCAAGACCACAGACTCCCACCGGAAGGTTTCGCCCGGATCAAGAAGCTGCACCACAAAAACTGCACATGGTGCCGAAAGGCACCGAAATTCATGCCAGCACCATCCCGGCTCCAAAGAAAAACCGCTGCCTTCTGAGCCCCCTCCGCTTGCCAACGGCCTTGGGAAAGCCCTGATAATCTTCTTTCGCTTTTGTCGTGACAGCGTCTTTGGCTCCAGCTGGGTGGTCCCATCGTCCCCGAAAAAGTCTCCATGAAAAATCCCCCGCACACACATCCCCTCGGAAAACTCGGGAACGATGCCGGTGGCAAAATGCCACTCACTGTCCTTGCCCCCGCTCGGGGCGGGGCTCTTCCACCAATATCCTTCTGAAACAACCCTGGCCCGGCCGCGACTCACCTTCTCTTCTAGCTGCAAAGCCCGCCACCTTCTTCGAAGCAACGGGCTGTCCAAGTCCACCCCCTCGAGTGGTCCCGGGCCGCTCGCGGTGGGCCCTAGTTGTTGTGGCCCATCGCCACATTCGCCGCCGCGTGCTGCTGGAGCTGGCCCAGAGCTACCTCGAACTGAGCCCTCTGGGCTGCCATCCCCTGCTCGTACTGGGCCTGGTTCTGCTGCAGCTGCTCCTGGAGGTCCTGGATGTACTTCTCCCGGTCCGCGGCCTCCTTGCGCTTCTCCCCTTGTATCTTCTCGATCTCCTCCTGGTCCCAATCGAAGAACTGGCACACTCGAGCAGCGCACTTCCAAAAGTGCCGGCCTTGGGTCGGGCCAGCCTTCTTGGTCACCAACCGCACCGCCGCATTGCCGCAAAGGCATCTTGGGACTCCTGGGGCCGCGCTGCTCATGGCCCCGGCGATCTGCGTCCTCACCACCTCGGCCAGATACTCCTCCATCCCATTTGCGTCCCACCGGCCGCAGCACTGGAGGCAGTAAATGTCTCGGCTGTGCCCGTTCCCAGCTCCACGGAGAAACTCCGCGGCGTGGCCGCACTCCTCGATCTTCACCCTGGGTGGCGCCTTGGATTTCCGAGGCTGAAGTGCCTTGGCGATCCACTGCTTGTAGTCCGCGGTCTTGGCCGCCGTGCGCTTCCCAGGCTCTCGGGGCGTCACAGGCTCCCACGTGGCCGAAGCTACCGCAGAGGGCAGCCAGCCAGGCAACAAGGATGCGTTGAACCAGTCCGCCATTCGGGCCTGTATGGTGGACAGCGCGAGCAGATCGATAAGCTTGTCGAACACCACTCTCCAGTTTGACAAAGCCCGCTTGGGATTGTGGGCTCCTCCTCGCCCGGGCTTGGCTGGCGACAAAGATGCTTCGGACCGCAGCTGAAGAAGCAGGTTCATGACCCAGTCCGGCACACTCAGAAAACCCCCCAAACGATCTAACGGCACTCTCGAACCGCGGCTTGCAACGAAACTCGGCATCACTGAGACCTGCTTGCGCTGCGGCTGCGGGCAACTGCCAGTCCTTGCCCGCGAAGTCGACGACCTCGATGGTATAGTGACCTGAAGGGAGCGGTGTCATGGGAACCGTGGTGCCTATCGCGCGCATCTCTAGGCACTCCTCGTCCAAATTGATCACGGACCTCAGCTGCTTCAGCAACTTAACCGGCAACAGCAGTGGAACTTCGCCCTCGACCACGGCTGCTTCCAAAATCCCTGACACGCCGCCGATGGCCAGCGGTAGCTCACAAACTCCCAGGCTCTTTGCTTCACCCCCGATGCCCTTAGTGCGCACCACGCGGTTGCACCACCGAGGCCTGAGACCCTTCTTCCTCAAGTCCTCCTCTAGCCTTTCAAGGGCCAACTTCCCGATGACCCCGTCCTGCGCCGCACTGTCTACAATCCCATGGTGAGCTTGCGTGGTAACCCCGCTGAAGTTGATGTGTGGGGGCTTCTCGGGGCTCTGCTCTCGGCTCTCTCCCTTGGCAAACGAACACTGGCAAGAATCACGGGCAGCTCGCAAAAAGCTTCCTAGCAACGGCTTTTCGCCAAAGAAAGCATTCGAGCTGCCATCGCCACTGATCTGGTAGAAGCCGGCCCTGGCGCTGCTGCCGCTTCCCGCCTGAGAGCTCGCGGCCGATCCGGTGGAGGAGGCCCCGGGTTTGCGGTAGCCGTCGGCGGGGTTAGGACACTCGGCTGCCCAGTGGCCGACCTGCCCGCACTTAGCGCATTTCGTTCTCAGCTTCAGCATGCTCACGTGGATCCGAGCTCCGTTGTTGTGCGTGCCTTTCTTGCCCTTGCCCTTCCCCTTTGGCTTCTCCGTGGGGAAGTACTCTCGCGCGTTCTTCTGGTCCTGAAGAGCACGGCGCACCTGCTGATATGTAGCCAAGGCCTGTTTCACCTCCGACTCCTCGTAGATCTCCTGGAGGTCCGCCTGCTCGAGGTACACATACTCCTCGTCATAGTCGGACTCTCCCTCCAGCTCGCCGTCCTCCTGCTCGGCCTCGTCAAAGTACGCGGACCGCTTGGCCGTCCCGGGCTGCTCCCGGACCTTGTCCAGCTTGCGCAGGGCCTTGGTCACGATGTCCCGGCCGAACTTTCCCTCGGTCCACGTGGTCAGCTGATCCTCCTGCACTCCGCTCAGCCTGGCCTGGCGGTACATCACGTACCCCCGGGCTTCTTGAGGAAGATCCACGCCTTCTTCCTTCAGCTCCCTGAAGGCGGCGTCCATCCGGATGATGTACTCGCTGAGCGTCTCGCGGCTGCCGCGAACTTCTCCATAAACTGCTCTCTCAAAGGCCTTGGGCATCGTCGTCTCGAGGTGGGGCGAGAAGTACTCTTTTAGCTTCGCTAAGATGTTGTCCTTCCCCTTCTCGCCCAGTATCTCGGAAGTCTCCAGCTCATTGGCGGCTGCCTTGGCTGCTCCGCCAAGCCGTCTCAAAATCCTGGTGCCATGCTTAGCCTTCGGAATCTCTGTGTCAAAGGCCCACAGCTCAAGTTCCCGAAGCCACGGCTTAAAAGTCTTAGCCGGGTCCTCTCCGTCGAAGTAGGGAGGCGGCTCCCTGTCTCTGAAAGGTGGGCCCGGGTCCTCTGCCTCCGGAGTTTCCGAAGACTCGCCCGGCGAAGGCATTCTCGCAGCTCCCGAAAGCCACTGTCACACCCTCCCGGTAGTCCTGGATCAGGTAGCCGAAGAGCACGTCGATCGCCGCTCCTGCACAAAGCCGGGCTCCGCTACCACTGTCGACTGACAGTGGCAGCTCTCGGGAGATCTCGGCACAACTCGCAGCTGCTATGGCACCTAACGGTCTCTCTGGGCTTTTCTCGGTAGCCTCTGCTACGTGCTTGGGGCCTCCTGGTCTTGGGCCGTCTGGTCAAGGAAAGGCGGAGCGCAAGTCTGGGACCAACTGCTAAGCACTAACATGAACATGTTCACATCTTCCGCATTCGCTTGCACGGCCATAGCAAAGTACTAGTGATGAAGCCGTCGTATCGTTCGATGCAGCTGGGCGCATCGAAGTGTCGCCTCGCCGACACAGAAGTGCGCCAGCACTGGCCAAGCAGTCTGCCGCTTCGAAAGAATCCTTTGAGGTGTGTCTAGTTGTCTAACTGGCTTTCGAAGGACGTCACCAGCACACCTTGAAGTGAAGTCTTCGCAGCAAGACGTTGACTTGGACATGCTTGGATTTCCAGCAGGATACTATCTTCATCGAGGGCTTCTGAAATCAGGAACGTGGTACATCATCGTGCCCGTTGCTGCTGCCACTACAAGACTACCAGCATTGGTGAGCCAGTAGGGCAGCCTACAGGTGATCACTTCACATGCTCCGCTTCCTTCTAGGGCTTAGGATAGCCCTCAAGCGCATCCGTCCAGTTTGCAGGCGCACGTGATCAGTCGCGTAAACGCTGCAAGGCAGGCTGCAAGCCACTAACAAATTGTTCTACCGCTTTGACTACAGTCAACCATTCGCACTCAAGTCATGTGCCTCGTTGCCAGTAGAATGCAATGGCACAGCATCGATTTCTTGGCTTGTGACTCTTGATGCAGTTCTTCGCATACATCGGCAAAGCCGTCACGATTCCTACGGGTTCAGCAGTCTTCAAGCACGCATCGGTCTCAGGGGCAGCTGCCTGCCCTTCCTCGCCCTCCTTAACACGTTGAACGTCGAAAGTCCCAATTTCTTTAGATCACTGAATGCCCAAGCACCGACATGAACTGCGGAGATCTGCGGACTACATACCCCCATTCTCTGCATTCGACAGTAGCCGCCAGAGCTTCTCGGCCCCGGCCCGGAACCCGAGGTCAAACTGTGAAGGCACCCAAACCCGGCAGCCTCAAAAGCTGAAAGTGCACAGGAAGAGAGGAAGAGGCAGGGAGGGTGCGCCTTTTGCAGAACTGCGAAAGTCTTTTTCTTGGATGCCCATGTCCGCTTCCTCCAATGAGGCAGCAAATGGGGTTGAAAGGGCTTCAAGACTACTTCCAAAATAATCGAAGGTAGCTGCTGTCCTCTTCCGCAGCATCCTTTCTACAACTTCGGAATAGAGGACCGAGTTGTCGCCTTCGTCCTTCAAGAAATAGTCGTTCAGACTCAACCTGAATGGACGCTTCCTTTTCCATGAATGCTGTCATCTACCGTGCTGCTGGGCCACACAAAGCTCAGGATGCCGGATGTCGGCACGTTCCAGACACCTCGCCTTTTGCGCACGCCATCCACCTGAGGTGCTCAAATGGCCAAGGATCGGGTCAGCAGAAAAGTATCCAAGGCAAGCACGTTGTACGGCGTTGGGGCTTGTGTGGAAGAACTGGCGAGCATGGCACCTGGATGAAGCTTGGAGCTCAATCGTTGTTACATGAGAGTGGTACCATCTGTTCAACTCATACTCATGACTCATGGCTCATGGCTGTATTTTGGCTCAAGACTCGTGCCCATTGCGGGCTGCACAACACATGACAGATTGATTGATCAACTCTACTCCGGCGCAGAGGATATTGAACACTGGCTGCAATGCTTTTTGGAATTTCTGCACGGAAAGCTCGAAGTCCCTTTATTGAGCCCTGCTGGAAGCCCGCGCGGACGGATAGTGCAAGCCCAAGGTGCTCTTGATGTATTGGCTCCGGCTGCCACCCAGCTGTGCCAAGTTTGTGAGCAACAGCCGGAAACAAGTGCGCTGACCAGCCATGGCCATGTCCAGTGAGTACTGCCCGGACGGATCCTTGCAACCATAAATGCAGACTGCAGCACGATCACCGAAGTTCAGTTAGGGCACAACATCGAAGAGGCCCAGTGCCACGTCGCCGTCCGAAGCTGTCTGCGAGCCACGAGGGGTGGAGAGAGTCAGTTAAAAAGGCTAAGCGGAAAAAATGCGGAGCAAACAGTCTGGGATGTCCTAAATAACAGCATATTGGGTATGCTGTCCTATAGTAAACGATAGTACATAACAACTATAACTAGAATGTAACTGTAGTAAAGTATAGTGTAACTCGCAGGCGGCCTGCACATCCTCGAGGAGGAGGTTGCAAAGCTCGGGGCAGTGCTCGTTGGAGAGGAGGCGCAGACTCGGTGAGCTTCGACGACTCGACTACTGGAGTATAGTATATAGTATAGTATAGTCTAGTATAGTATAGTATAGTATAGTATAGTATAGTATAGTATAGTATAGTATAGTATAGTATATCGTATAGTATATCGTATAGTATAGTATAGTATAGTATAGTATAGTATAGTATAGTATAGTATAGTATAGTATAGTATAGTATAGTATATCGTATAGTATACCGTATAGTATAGTATAGTATAGTATAGTATAGTATAGTATAGTATATCGTATAGTATAGTATATCGTATAGTATAGTATAGTATAGTATAGTATAGTATAGTATAGTATAGTATAGTATAGTATAGTATAGTATAGTATCGTATAGTATATTGAATACAGGTCTAGCATGAACTTCTTGCGCAAAGTACCAGACATGCAACTTCTAGAGACAGGCAGCAGTGCGCAGAGCCCAGTCTGGCCGAGTGGATTCGTGGAAACATCCAGCAACTCCTTGCATGAGGAGACAGCCACCAAGTACGACAATCATCGATACCTGTCTGACACTAGCCCAACATTGTGCTGTTGGCCAAAAGGCCACTGCTTATGATTCAGGATGGCCTTATTCCAATACAAACGCTCGACTAGTAGACGAATAGCGTTAAGCCAAAGGGAACAGGATACCAGCAGTGGCTGCACATACCTGAACCTGAGCCAGCGGCGATAGTCGGATGATTCAGGAAGCCATACTCAAGCATCAGTGCTGAACTTTCGTCCAACTGGTTGTCCTAAGCTGCAGGATTTCTGCCGGTGACTCTTGCAAACTCGACTCGGTCAGGTTTACGGAGCAAGCCTTGCCTGCCAGGAATCCGAAAGATCCAAGAACTTGAGGCACCTATCTGCTGGCAGCTGCTCCAGAAACCCGCACATGGGCACAGACGCCTCCACGAGGCCACAATGCTGCAGTTGAACATTGTTGCAAGAGCTCAACCATCTGGCACGTGAGCTGCCCACCATGACAGACGCCGTCTTCGCCAAGCCGAGATATTCCAAACGGCTGCCTTTGAGAAGGCTGTTTCCCAGCACCTTGGGCCATCTCCGTTTCCCAAAGGCCCTCAACCCTCCCGGACGGTGAGTCTCAGGTCGATGCTGTGAATGCCTCCGGATCGAAGTTATTGTACCCAAGGTCCTCGACCGGAGTTCTCTGCGCTGATCAAGTCAGAAGCAGCAGAAGATGCGGGCGAAGGGCCAGCTTCAGGATCCGAGTATTTCGGACCAGGCTTGGGATGATCTGCAAGAGAAAGGCACTGCAATGCGCTCTGCTGTGACCTCTGCACTGCGACCCTCTGCCTTGGTGGAGAGATCTGGGCTTATGCCCGTCCTTGCCAAAGACCTCAGCTTGAGCTTTGCCCTCCCTCAGCTCCTCTTTTCTTTGAGCCAAAGGGACACTTCTTGGAGGCGCTCGTGCCTCTCAATGGCACCAGCGAGTTTCTGATAGTCCTCAGAAGCGGCTGGCTCCCCAGAACAGCCCGAACGTGCCCTCTGTTTTCAGTTGCGGCAAGACTCCGCGATGCTAACATAGACTCCCGAGATATCCAGGCGCTGGAGGTTCACCATCGGCCCAAGAATTAGCTGTGTCAGGAGCTGCATTGCCTCACCTCTCCACACCACGTCACGACGTTCACTCCCAACCCCAAACCGGAGCCCGCGGAAGCTCAGAGGTCGACGGCCAATCTGGATGCACTTGTCCAGGTAAAGGGCCGCCAACATGTCCTTGGCTGCGGGCCATGGGGCCATGGGGTCCGCTAGCCCCAAGGGTGCCGACAGCTGGGTGGGCTCAAGCTCGTACCAAGGGTCAGCAAATCTGGCAGCCACACACTCCAGCAGTGGGCAAACAGATCGGTTCGTAAGCCTCAGATTTCCGTTCTTCTGCTCAGCTCCACGCACCTTTTCGCAAGCAGTGCCAAGCCGAGGCTCTTGGAGTTTTGGCCAAGATCGAGTCTTTCCAAGATTCCTCGAAGCGACGAAGCGGCGAGGCAGCGGCGAGGATGTGTGTCACAGTGCCTGCACTTACCCGCCTGTGTAGGGAAAGGCAGCAGCCAGTGCCAGCAAGTCCTCATCCGAGTAGTCCAGGCCACGAAGATCGAGGAATGGGAGTTTCCTTACAGTGCACGTAGTCAGGTCACACGCAAGCTGCCTAACTTTACCTACCAGACATTCTACCAGAACGTTTGAGACAAGCCACTGCCCCAGGAAACCGACGACTGCCTGCTGCGGCTGCAAGCCGCAATCCATGCACACCTGCAATGGGGAAGCACGAGAACAGCCGCCCGGCATAGACACAGGTATACTCTCGACCCAGCTGCCGCACTCTTGGGTTCATATGGCCAACATATTATTTTACGAGCAGTCGGAAAATCTCATCGCCAAACTGCTAACTCATGCTTGCAAGTCTCGACGGATGAACCAAGTCGAAAACTCGTGGTAATGGCAGCGTTGTGGGAAGAGGAGGACGTCTGCTGGCAGGCCGTGTAGCAACCGAAAACTCAACCTCATCGTCCCGCTGGACCGCGCCTTCGCGTAGCGCTGCAAAGGTGGTGCTGCCTTTTGGCCTGCTTGGCCGCCTGCCCGCACTGCACAACGAAGCACACAGGTGCAATTTCACTAGAACAACAGCTGCAGGAATCATCACAATATCAGTTGTAACACCTGTGGCACAGTTGCAGGAGATCTCCCGTGAGCCTCGCTCTGCTGACCAGGGCCTGTGCAAGGTCTCCACAGGCTCGGAACGCGGCTCCTGTGAGGTGCGAAAGCACCGTAGTGCAAGAATCCGTCACGCCCTGCCGATGCTGTCACCAAAAGCGTGAAAAGCTTTCTTGCCTGGACGGTCATGCTGAGCTTCAAGGATGAGACAGGCGAAGCAGCACGCTGACTGTCATCTCAGCGGGCGGATCTTGACAAAAGCATGCATTGCCTAGACTTGCCACGTTGGCTTGCCAGCTAAAGGCTGGGCTTGCAGACTAAATCTGGTAAGAGTTTACGACAGATGGAATCTTGAACAGAGTTCCAAAAAGTCGTCGTCCGTAGTGCTTGTCCCAGCAAGCTTTGGGAAGAAGCTGAAATGCCAGCCCTTCTCAAAACTCCAATCAGTGAAAGCTCCCGGGCTGGGGCACTTCTCGGCCCGTCTGTGTATGCATCAACCTATTTGTCTTTGAATCACTTCGAGAACTTGATTTAACTATTCGGGCAGCCTTTGTGGATCATCTAAGTTGTAGGATTCTGTGTCATTCCGGCATGTTTCATTCCGGCCAGCACTTCTCCAGCAGGCTTGACGAGAACAAGGCTCGCGGATGAGAAGTGTGTGTCACAACTTTCAGTTCATGCTCGTGCTCGCATTTGGCTTTCCTGGCTATGCACTCCAACACCGAGAGGCCCCAGAAGCCACCGTGCCGCTCGTGGCGCCAGGTGCGAAGCTGCACCTCAGGCTACGTTTGGGGTTTAGGTTTAGGGTTTAGGGCTAGGCGGTTGAGAGGTCTCGAGCTGCTTTGCCCAATGAGGCCATGTGACCCAGTGATGGAGACCCGGATGCCACTTTGAAGAAGGTTGCTCGCCTCACGCCCAGGACTCACTTCCGACAGTGAACATGTAGATTTTGCATGCGAGGCCAACAAACAGCCTGTAAGCCCGCAGACGATGCCAGTTGCAGGCAACGAACGAGCTCACATCTGCGAACATCTTGATCTCTTGATGGGGGCAATCTGGATGGCTCTATCTTTTATTCAGGAACGGGGCCTGCCGACAAAATGGCCGGAGGCGTATTGAACGTCCACCCAAACACACACTTGCCTGAAGTCAGGAAGGATATGGGAGCTTCTGAAGACATAGAGACAGAGAACAGAAACTACCCCCAAACCCTAAAGCCTGAACCCCCAAAACCCTCAAACCCTGAAACCCTAAAAGCCTGAAACCCCCAAGCCCAGTGTCCTGCCATCTGCTTAACAGCCCGAAGCGGCTCGGAGAGGCGCTCCGCCTCCCGAGAGCAATCGACACCCATCTTCTGGTGCCTTTTTAAGGAATACACCTTAAATTAGTGTGATTCAGTGTATTCTGGTTTAAGGTATACTCCTTAACTAAGGGTTGCAGCTCCAGCGCACTTGCCTGATTTCGCTCAAGGCGGCTGCGAACACTCGTGGACTCCCGCGCCGTGGCCGCACCTGACATCGCAGGCAGAAGTCTGCACCCTGGCGCGATCTGAGCGTAGGGTCACCGAGCCAAACATCGAATGTACTTACAGATTGGCTTGGCCAATTCACAGGTGTGGAATTGGGCAAGGAAAGCCTCAAATGAAATGTAGTGATCTTCTCACTTGCTTCTTTCAACGCAACTGGGCATGGAGCACTGAAAGATCCGAGAGGCCAAAGCGAAGTGGCTTGACTTCCTCGCAAAGGGAGATTTTCTAGCAGACTGTGGTGCTCAAACGTGCCCAACAGGTGTCAAAAGAAGCCAGGGTTTTCAAAACATGTCTCCTGTTTCTTTGTCCGCGCGCTGTGGATTGTCTGCGGCACCGGTGGTAGCGCAGATAGCGAGAGACCAAGCCGCTTTGGGCAGTGGTATTCCTGCAGTCGTGAGAGATTGTAGGAGCCGTTTGCAACACTTCTAGAGACACCACGTCCTTTCACGAGAAGATTGACCATCTATCTGAAGCTGAGCTTGCATGCACCACACCGCTTCCTTCCCAGAGCGCAGGAGTAGAGCGCAGTGGGTGGGCGTCTCGATGTTCTCCAGCATCTTCTGGCACTTCTTCTGATCCTCGAGGCCGGGCTAATCTACTCTACACCACAAGGGCCCTACCCTTAATGGGGCCCTACAAAGCCCCGAGACCGCGACGGTCCTGAAAGCTCGAATATCGTCGAGTTGGCGAGTATCTGCAAGAAAGCTCAGATGTCTGACGCACCATGCAGCTCGGGACCGATACACAAACAAAAACACCACTGACAATAATGGTCCTACATGGTCCTGGTTGGAGTATGAGTATGAGCAACAATGGTCAAACAATCATAATCAACCATATGAGTGATCGTAGTAGGAGTATTTGTCGTCTTCGTTACATAGAAATCGCAAGGTCGGCCCTCATAGCCCGGCCTCTCAGCCAATGGGTTGCGATCCTCCACAAGAGCTTGTCGTCTCCTGTTCACACGACATGCTTATAAGCCGATTTGCGATGAACTGGAGACGAGGGACATCAAGAGCGGTGAGTGTGGCTCCATGGAGGCAACTGACCTTGGAGCGTCTTGCACCAAGGGTATCGGATGCTTTACGGAATGCTTGCACCAGCTCGAAAGACAAATCAGTTCTTTGACGCAGATCTCTTCTGCCACTCAGCCAAAGAACAGGAAGCCCTCTCTCTTCCTTTCTGAGCTTCTTGCTTTTGGAAGGCTTGGAAGCAGAGCACAAGCCCCCAACCCTCACCATCAGGCCCTGCGTATGTGAGTGTGTGAGAGTGAGACTGAGAGGGAGAGTGAGAGGCAGAGAGGGAGAGAGGGAGAGACCGAGAGAGGGATAGTGAGAGAGTGAGAGAGAGTGAGAGAGTGAGAGAAAGAGCGAGAGCGAGAGCGAGAGAGAGAGAGAGAAAGAGAAAGACAGAGAGAGAGAGAGAGAGAAAGAAAGAAAGAAAGAAAGAAAGAAAGAAAGAAAGAAGGAAAAAAGATAGATAGAGAGAAAGACAGAAACAGAGAAAGAGAGGTGGAGGGGGCAGGGCAATTGAGCGAGCGAGCGAGAAGGACAGCGAGCCAATAATGCTTCCGAGAAGCCGCATTTCATCTGATCCGGTGGTCCCGGCTGATTCCCTGGTCGCCCTGCGCTGCAGTTTCGTGCTTCATCTGCAAGCTGCACATCGGCTGTGCCGTCAACATGCAGTGAAGTGCGTTGCATGCCGAGTTGCGGTCGGGACATCCTGTACAGGTTTTCGAACTTGCCCTGCCATCCAAAGGATCGAAGGCAGGTGCAAAAGAGCCTCTGTCACGCTGAAAGTCCTTGCTGCTGCTCTGGAGTTCGGTGAGCTCCGTGCGCCAGCAGGGCCCCGACTTGGGAGGTGCCTGGCTGCTGCTTTGAGAGACACCACACAGTTTATATTATACTATATTATATATATATATACATATATATATATATATTATACAATATATATATATATATTTCACAAAAGAGACAGGTCTGAGGTCCCGTCCTTGTCTGTCTCACCTCGGATGCTACGTGCCACAGAAGCCACGGATTACGACCTCCAGGCTTCCCCAGTCCGAGCCGAGCTGCGGTAGTAGCTCCAGAATTCGTGCCAGGAAGCAAAGTGACCCCGCCGATGGTCCGAGAGTCTCCTCACAAAGCCCTCCGTCAACCGTACCAGTTGTCCACCTCTCTCTCTCTCGCTCGCTCTATCAGGTGTCCACCTTTCTCTCTCCCTCTCTGGTGTGGGAAGATACCAAACATCCATTCCTGCAATCCGCGATTCAATCTAAGAGGAGCATGCTGCAGGTGCTCATACACTGAATCTCATCTGCAACAGAACTGGGACGAGCCAAGTTTAGAACGAGACGTGATGATGCGAGTCTTCCCATCTCGCTCCTCTCCACCTTCTGAGTGGCGAGGGGTCCCTCCTCCTGCGGCCATGACGCTCGGCGCATAAGTTCGTATTGTCGCAGTGACATGTGCGAAGATGCATTTCTGCTCCTTCGCCTGCGCTAGTAGCACGGCAGGCGAGGTGCCGTTGTCTTCCTCGTCGTTCTGCATACCTTGCCTGAAGCGAGATGGGAGACTGGAGTCCAGCACTGCGGCATAGTTCCTCGCTTCCTCGCCTCGCCCCCTGGCCGTTGTGAGGCTTCGGTGCGCTCTCGATGACTTTCCACAGCGGCTCGGTGCCTGAACCACGGACATGGAAGCTTCGAGCACTGGTAGCAGTGTCTGGCGGCCGTGCCTGCGTCGTCGTCCTCCTCGATTGGAGTCACCGTGTCGAAATCCCTCGCAGATGGAAATACGATAGTGGCACACAGTGCAACGCCCTTTCACAGATGGCAGCCTGTCTTTTTGAATGACACGGAGCAACAGGAAGAAGAGGTTATTGCGCCCATTGATCATCGTTGCCTTCGGCTGATGTATGCATTAGGGGCGATGGGTCCTTCAGAGCACATCCACGAGTAGTTTACGAGGCCCATTAGATCCGATACACCCCTAGACCCCAAACCCCAGCCTCTGGAACTTCGACCCGGCAATCTGCCATTCGATCCTGGCACGGTCATTCAAACGGATGATAGTTGCAGTAATGGCAGATAGCAATAGGAGTAGTAGTAGTAGTAGTAGTAGTAGTGGTGGTAGTAGTATTAGTAGTAGTAGTAGTAGTAGTAGTAGTAGTAGTAGTAGTCGTACTAGTCGTAGTACGAGTAGTAGCAGTAGCAGTAACAGTAGCAGTAGCAGTA